AGTGGTGTCTCTCTGGAGACTAAGGTGCATCTGATACAGGCCATGGTCTTCACAATCACTTGTTATGCATCAGAGAGTTGGACAGTGACCAAGGAGGATAGAAGGAGAATTGATGCCTTTGAGCTGTGGTGCTGGAGAAGAGTATTGAGAATACCATGGACTGCTAGGAAACAGATTCATCCTGGAAAGGGTCAAACTGGGCAGCTCCTTGGAGATAAGGATTCTGAGGCTTTGTCTGACATACTTTGGACATGTTGTAAGGCGGGATGGGTCTTTGGAGAGGGACATCATGCTTGGTAGTGTGGAGGGACAGCACGGGAGGGGAGGGCCCTCTATGATGTGGATTGATTCAGTGACTGGGGTAATTGGGATGGGTGTGTCAGAGACTGAGATTGGCGATTGGCACAGGACAGAGCAGAGTTTAGGGCTGTTGTACATAGGGTCGCTATGAGTTGCAAGTGACTCAGCGGCACATAACAACAACAACAACAACATACACAGCCCATTAGACCTCTGTTTAACAAATTAGACTTTCATGTAACAAGTTATTTCCCATTTCTGCACATGCCCAGTTCAGTGACATTGGTTACATTTTTCAGTGTGTCAATATTCCCCTTCTAGTCTGTTTATCATATTCCCAGTAATCTAGTTCCCTGCCCGCTTCACTTCTCATCTTTTAGAGTAATTGTTGGCCATTTAGTTTTCATGAAAATGATTATTAAAAGGAACACAGTACACATAGGAGATAGTCCTTATTTTGAGTCTGTCTATTTAGCTCGAAGTGTATTTTTGTCATAGTTTCACTTTAAAGTCTTCAGGCTGAGTGGTTTGGGATTTCCTTTAGTCTCAGTTAATTCAGGAAGTCTGGACTTTGAAGGGTTTCATTTCCGTGCCACATTCTTCTCTCATTAGGATCCATCTGTCATGCTAAGATCACAGTCTTCGGTAGTAGTTGATGGTGGTAGTCAGGCACTGTCTAGTTCTGGTCTCAGGATAGATGAGGATACATGTGTAGACTGTTAGTCCTGGAGACTTCTCTCAACTTTCAACTTTTTGTTTCCTTCTTTCTCTCTTGCTACTAATATTTCCAGACCAGGTGTGTTTAGCCACTCTCAGGCTTGTAAGACCCAGGATACTTCCCCACAATATGATGTTGAATATATATTTTATGAATTATGTCACTGGACCAGATTATCCTACAAGACTATATGATGCTAGGCCTTTAACCCCAGAAAAACAATCCGACTAAGTAGTTTTGGTTATGTTTTAAGAAAGAACTGTAACTGTATAGTTTGTTGTCAATTTAGTACCAACTTGGAGCTGATCCTTCATCATTGGTTTTCTCTCTGTAAATTGCATGAGAGGAGATGGCCTGAAGTTCTCCAGCGGAGCTGCTGATGGATTTCAACTTCTAGAGGTCTGACCTTTAGGTTAGCAGCTAAACGAAATATATACACGTGCAAAGAGATGCGTCTGTCTGCATACACATATATACACACATGTATATACCCCCATGCATATTTATACCTACATACATACATATTTAAGGTTATGTGCATTATTTTATTGTTGATGTGTTGCAAAATTACATTATTGTTAACAGTTTAAAGAAATCTAAACTTGATAAGGAAATCTACTTCAAAATTGTCCTGCTGGGCTAAGATAATACGGACATCCAGCCTGATAAAGAATCTACAATCTATTTTGGCCTTCTATATACTAAAAGGACAATTCTCCCTTTAAATAGATCATTGAAGAAATGTTCATTCTTTTATTGTTTAGATGATCTCAATTTTGTTGGCAACATCCAAAGCATCATAGTAAGGAGCAACTAGAACGAATATATGTCTTCTCTCAATTAGGCTTAATCAAGTGTTGACCTTGGCCACATCATTGTCAGTTTCTATGGAAACGTGAAGAATATTATTACTCTTGAGCCAATTTGATATTGTTTCTGTCAGGAGCCAAAAGAAATTGGAAGGACTCCAGCCCTCCTTTATGAGAGTGAGAAAAGACCAGGTAGCAATTCTAGCCCTTAGCAACACCTAAAAACTGAAAGGTCCTAGCTCACTACTGAAATCCAGAAGCCAAAGGTATAGCAAATATGCTTTATTTAGAATTTAGAATGTGCTTTTCAGCCTCAAAGGCAAGAGTAGGGAGTAGTTCTGTGTTGAGAGTAGTCACAGCAGTTTCAAGGTGGTTTTTGTTGTTGTGTTGATTGCCGTTGAGTCGAGTGTGACTCATAGCGACTCTATGAACAAAAGGCCCAATGCCTTTCTATAACTGTTGCCATTTCATCAAGTTCATAGAGTTTCCAGAGGCATGTGGCTTAGAAAGTGGATGCCACTCCTGCTTCTAAACCTGTTTTACAAACTAGGAGCTCCACCAAACACTGTCCACAAGAGGAAGCCATTCTGGTATTTGATACCTCAATGGCACAAGGTTCAGCATCACTGCAACCCAGGTTACTTCACACTGCACATTGCTAAAGTGTGATGTACAAAGTGGAAGACTCTTCCTCCAGATATAACAGCACTAGTTTAATTAGCAGTAGTTAAATGTCATCAGGTTGAATATGACTGACAGTAAATTTTGCACGAAAGACCTAAACTTTGTTCTATGACTAACATAATTTCTGTATAGAACTCTGTTCTGTAACTACCATCCTTGGGCCATTTTCCTATTATTTCTGCATGCCTTGTTTATCCTGGGTGGGTTACAAAACCATGTTTAGGGGTAAACATTTATCAGATCAGTTATTATATCCTGGAACACAGGGATGAAATCAGGGGAAGTCAGAAGATCAGCAAAACAGAATTGCTTTGGTTTCAACCTTATAACAACAATTAATGTAGGATTCATTGTACATATGTACAACTTTGTGCTGAAAAGCATCTCCCTGGCACTTAGCACCAATAACAGAATCATACTATACCTAAGTCTTCAACACACTTGATTGCTGTATCTTGTAAGATGAGCTTTGTGCTTGGATTAATTCTGCATTTTGTCATGATTTACAAAATCCTCTGTACACTTGCCAAAAGAAATTGAAACTCAAACTATGTGTTGCTGGGTGCGGTTGACTCCAACTCATACTCACTCTGTGCCATCAAAACCTTGTGCCATTCTCACGATTTCCGTTGATTCTTTTTAGGCCAATTGTTACAGTTACAGTGCCAGTTCGTCTCACTAAGGGTCCTTTTTTTCTCCTTTCAGTGACCCTCTGCTTTTCCAAGCATGTTACTCTTTTCAAAGGACCAGCCATTTTGTATTCTATCTTTTGAAGCTTCAGTGTCTTCATTTCTCTCAGCTTGATAAATGCTGAGTGTGTATCTTCCCTTTTGGTTTTCTAACTCTTACTTGCGTATTTCCTTATACTGCTCTGTCCTCTCCAGCTGCCCTTTGACTTTTTTTGTTTATCTCTCTTATTTCATAGTTTCTTTTTGTTTTAGTTTCTCTGTTCAGGATCAAGTTTTAAGAGTTTGTTCGGACACCCATCTCTGTCCATTTTCCTAGGGTGAAGGCTAGTACTAATTTTTGAGTATAGAGATATTCGAGATAAGCTCCCTTTTGTCACATCAGGTTCCAGGACTAGTGCCTGTTTTTAGCCCTTACATTTTCCTTTAATTTGATGTGTTTCTACTATTTGAGCAACTATATCTTTATGTAACCTAGGAAATATTTTAGTTGCTTTCTCATAATAATGTGAGGAAAATGTATTTATATATGTATTATATATAAATTATTAATAGATTTAAAATAAAAATGGGATTTAAAATAAAAATAGGATAGGTAAACACTCCTATTTTCACCTGGTTTTTAATCAAAATTAATATTAAAGAACATTTTACAGTAAAATTTACAGTATTCTGTATTAATTAGAAAGTCTGAGTATGTCATAAATGAAGTGATTGCGGACAGAAGAAAATGAAGCTCTTTAGAATTGTATTCTAGTGCTTTATATATAACAAGCTTTGAAATACTTTGGCTTAATGCAAAATGTCTAAAACAAAGAAGAGAAAATCTTTATATTTTTGATACTTGGAGCTTCAGGAAGTAATGTCTCCTATGAAAGGTACATTATTATTAAGCCATTAAAATTGGCTTGCTTTTATCCCTTAGGTATATTGCAACATCCAGATGGCACAGTTTTGAAACAGCTACAGCCACCTCCAAGGGGTCCAAGAGAGCTGGAATTCTATAATATGGTAAGTGAGGTAAGATTTGATTTACTTATGTATTTGTCAGAGATTACTGGTGGCAACTCATACACAGCAAGATGACCATTTTATAACATGTGTTAGTCTAGTCCACTGTAGCTTTACAGTATGTGATATATTCTAGTATTATCTATTACATTTCATATTTGAAAGATCCTTATTTTAAACTACTAAAATGATTTAATTAATAAATAATGACCTGCATTTAACACGTTGCCACAAACTTAAATTGATGACTGTGCTTAGAAACACATTTAGACGTCATTTGCGACAACGTGTTAAGGAGAAGAAATTCTGTAGTTCTGAGACATACTATACTAAGTAGGTGTTGATAGGAAAAGATTTCACAGAGGGAGATGAGGTGAACATATTTAATTACTATGAATACCCTTCTTTCAATTATTCCCAGTACTATCCTCTGGATGATGGGTTTAAGCACGGCAGAGATTGTGAGAATGGTGCAGATAATTGTGCTTGCATCTGTGAGTCTCAGCTGACTTGATGGCATCTAATAAATACATAATTTGGAAGGTCTCTGTAAGGGAAGAGAATGTTTAGAGTACTGGATAAGAAGTCAAGTGATTTGTGTTTTAGGAATCACTTTGTCACTAACTATGCAGCTTTGAGCATTTGGTACAACCTCTGGCCCTTAATTTTCTTGCATCTGCAAAATAAAGATTTATCATTTGTATAAGGATGTTTAAATTATTGTGATTTTTCCAATATATAACACTATATATAGGGAGCTCCGGTGGAGTAGTGGGTAAAGAGTTGTGCTTCTAATCCAAAGCCACAGAGTTTGAGTCCACCAGCTGCTCTGTGGAAGAAAGATTGGTAATCCCCTTTTGTGCAGTTTTTAGCTTCTGAAAATCAGCTGGAGGTTCTGCTGTGAATTGGTTCTATTTTTTTGTCTACATGTAACAAGAACAATATTATATTTGAATTATTGTTCCATCTCCCTCTGAACAAGAGATCTGAACCTTGCCTTATCCTATTCCATCCTCATGATTTCTGGAATGCTTGAGCCTGTTGTTAACAGTCATTGTGTCAATTCGTTTCATTAAAGGTCTTCTCTGATTTTCTACCTTTCCCTTCATAATATCTTTTTCCAAGGACTGGTCATTCCTGACAGCATGCCCAATGTATATGAGACAGTTTCACCATCCTTGCTTCTAAGGAACATCCTGGTTGCATTTCCTCCATGAGAGAAATTTTTTTTGTTGTTCTTTTGGCAGACCATGGGATATTCAGTACTCTTCTCCAACACTGCCATTCAAAGGCATGGATTTTTTGGTTATTCTGATTCACATGCGTAAGAAGCAATTGACAATACCTTAGCTTAGATCAGGCACACCTGGGTCTTTAAACTGACCCTTTGACTCATTAGTACTTTGGAGAGGTCACTGACACTGGATTTTCTCAGTGCAACACATCTTTTGATTTCTTTTACCATGGTTATCCTTATTCAATGAATTCAGTGAATAAGGAGGACAGAAAAAGAATTGATGCCTTTGAGCTGTGGTGTTGGAAAAGAGCACTGAACTTTCCATGGATGGCCAAGAGAACAAACATCTATGTCTTGGAGAGGGTGCTTCCAGAATGGTCTTTGGAGACAAGAATGATGAGGCTTCACCTCACATACTTTGGACATATTGCTAGGAAGTGTTATTCCTTAGAGAGGGACATGATGTTAGGAAGGATGGAGGGTCAGTGAAGGAGAGGAAGACCCTTAACCAGGTGGACTGACACGGTGACTGCTGCAATGGGTTCTTGTGTGTTGGGAAGTAGGAGGATGGCGCATGTTAGAACAGGGTTCAGCTCTTTTGTTCATAGAGTCGCTATGAGTCATATTCAACTCGATGACACCTAACAGCAGTGTTGATTTTGGATCCAAGTCAAATGAAATCATTAACAACTTCAGTCTTTTCTATAGTATGATGTTGCCTATTGGTCCACTGGTGAGGATTTTTGTATGTTGAAAGCTGTAGGTAGTCCTTGATCTTCTATAGTGTTTCATATTAAAGTCTTTAAAAAAAAGGATTTTAAAACTAATTATAAGGTCATTTTGATAAATAAAATATGACATATTTCTATACCCCATTCCTGGATTTCTGCTATTCTTAGTAGTAGGCTAGGGAAATAACAGATTTTTGGCTATAATGTAATTTTAGAGTTTTAAGCATTCATCTTTTTTACACAGGAAATTTATCATGGATTATCAGTTCTATAATTATAAATTGTATAATTATGATTAAAGACATTGAACTTTATTAAGGTTCAGAAAAAAATAGAAAAAAAGATGATTAAAACACTTGACAGCTAACCTCAGGTTTAATAATTTGAACCCAGCAGCTGCTCTGTGAGCAAAAAATAAGACAGTATGTTCCTCCACAGAATTAATAGCCTTTGAAACACAATGGAGTATTTCTGCTCTATCCTGTATGGTCACTGTGAATTGGAATCAGCTTGGTGACATTGAATTTTTTTGTGTTATCAGAAAAATTAACATTTTTATGGTTTGGTTTTTTTTCATTTTCTCATTTGAGAAGGGAATAAAATTACTTTATGACCTTCAGTAAACCTTTTCTTTTTAAAACCTTTTCATCCCTGCAGTGAGAACCTGTGTACCCCTTAGCAGTTGCTCCTCATTTTTTTCCCAGCCTCTCCAGTTCTAAGCAACCATTTTTTAAATGAAATTTTTATTATATATTCAAAGTTCATATATCTTGCATTTCACACCAGATCTTTCTCCTTTCTTTTACCCATACTTGCATCCATCCATCAAATTGTGCGACCTTATGATAAAAACCACTGCCCCCATCCTTAACTCTCTGCTCCCCTCTCCCCCCTTGGGTCCTGATACGCATTCTATAATAATAGTCTTATACAGTATTTATCCTTGTGGGACTGAGTTAGTTCACGCAGCATAATGCTCTCCAGTCCCTCCCAAGTTAGGTAATATTTTTAAAAAAATCATTGCTCCTGTGTGCTGCACAGTATTCCATCATGTGAGTGTACCATAATTTTACAATCCATTCCATTGTGGTTGGACATTTGGACTGTTTACATGTTCTTGCAATGGTGAATAGTGCTGCTGTGAACATTGCTGTACAAGTCTCCATTTGTGCCTCAGTTCTCATTTTCTCGGGGTAATTTCCAAGCAATGGAAGAGCTTGTTCATATGGAATTTCTATGTCCAGCTTTTTCAGGAAACAGCAAACTGTCTTCCAGAGCAGTTATATCATTTTATAATTGTATCATCAGTGTATGAGAGTTCCTATCTCACCAAATCCCCTCCAACATTTATTACTTGCTGCCCTGCTAAACTTTGCTACTGCTACTTGTGTAAGATGGTATCTCATTGTGGTTTTAGTTTGCAACTCTTGTTGCTGGTTTTTTGGAACATTTTTTTCATGTGTCTGTTGGCCATCCAAATGTCTTCCTCTGTGAAGTCTTTCCATGTCTTTTTCCAAGTTTGTAATTTTGTTATCAGTCTATTTTCTTGTGGAGGCCCAGAAATATTCTGTAAACTTTTAATATGAAACCTTTGTCTGAAATGGTATTGCCAAATGTTTTTTCCCAGTCAATAGGTTTTCTTTTCACTCTGCCGGAAAAAGTTTGTTTTTTTGGTTGTTTGTTTGTTTGCTTCTTTCTTTCTTGTTTTGTACTGTTAAGTTGAATCCAACTGGTACAGGAAGAGATTTTCCCTCTTTCGGTAGCAGAGCATCTGGTGGATTTGAACCATGCACCTTTGGTATTGCAGTGCAGCTTCTTGCCACTAGGCCACCAGAACTCACTCTGGAAAAAGTTTTTGATGTGCACAGGGATTTAATCTTTAGAAGATCTCATTCATCAATTTTAGCCTCTCCAGATTGTACATTTCTGGCTGTATTTGGCAGTCACTTTATACTAGAGAGTAGGCTGTCTAAGCTTGATCCCTTTTTGTCTCTGATGAACTTTAATAGTTTTGGGCTTTACTCCCAGATCTCTGACCACCTTGAGTTGATTTTTGTGAATGGTGTGAGATGTGAATCCTCTTTGAGCTTTCTGCAAGTGGAAGTCCAGTTTTGCCAGCACCATTTGTTGAAGATGTTGTCATTTCCCCATTTGATAGGTTTTATTTCCTGTTAAATATCAGTTAACCATAGATAGCTGGATCCATTTCTGGGTTCTCAGTTCTGTCCCATTGGTTTATGTGCCAGTCTTTGTACCAGTACCGTGCTGTTTTGGTTACTATCGCTGTGTAGTAGATCTTAAGGTCAGGGAGTGTTATGCCTCCCACTTCATTTTTATTTTTCAGAAGTGCTTTGTTTATTCATGGTCTCTTTCCTCTTCAAACAAACTTGACAATTTCCTTTTCAATCTTCTTGAAAAATGAATTTGGTATCTATAGGGATTGCATTGAACAGGTAGATTGCTTTTGGTAGAATCGTCATGTTTACAATATTGAATCTTACTATCCATGAACAGAACACATTTTTCCATTTATTTCGGTCTTTTTTTTGTTTGTTTCTCGCAAAAATGTTTTGTAGTTTTCTTTGTTACAGGTCTTTTGAGTCTATAGTTAGGTAGACTCAAGTACCTCAGTTTGTGGTTGGCTGTTGTAAATGGTATTGCTGTCTTGATTTCCTTCTCTGGATTCTCTTTGTTACTGTAGAGGAATCCCACTGATTTTTGAATATTAATCTTGTATTCTGTGACTCTGGTAAATCGGACTACTGCTGTAACAGTTTTTTCCTTGGGGTTTTCTGTGTACACTGTCATATCATATGCACATAGCATGTAGCAGCAGTTTAACCATCTCTTTGCAGACCTGGATGCCTTTTATTTCCTTCTCTTGTCATGTTTTCCTAGCAAGCACTTCTAATACAGTATTGAATAGAAGTGGTGATAATGGGTATCCTTGTTCTAAGCAGCTGTTAATCTGCTTTCTCGCTCTTTAGATTTGCCTTTTATGGAAATTTTATAGAGCTCTGGTTGCTTAGTGG